GCGTTTGGTAGGTGTGAAAGAGGTTTTTATTCCTGCACCCCTTTTTCTTAAGTTGGGGGTTTTTTTTGCTGGCTGTGTTTTTATTTATTTTTACGCCTATTTTCTGTTTCTGTTGGAGGTGCAGGGTGTGAGCTAATGGAGACACAGCATTGCTGCCTGTCAGGGTAGCACGGACCGACCTTAGCTGACTGCTGTGGCTCAGCTGTGTGTGCCCCAGCACTGCTTCCTCCTGCAGGGTCTCAGGAAAACTTTCATTTGAGGACTCTGGCAACTCATAATCACAAGTTGTCATCCTTCTAGGTGAGAAAGATGGACCAGCCTGCTTGAGAAACAGAAAAGCAGGGGATTTTTTTTTGTGCTTCTAATAACAAACCAAACCCAGGCTTGGTTCCTGTGCAGATGTGCATTTGCAGATGTTGGGCAGTACTTTGCTGTCAGCACATGGACATGTACCATGATATGTGCTGAAATCTTCAAACATTCGCCAGAGACAACACCAGAGGAACACCCTGTTGTTAAGAAGAATTGCACCAGATGCTGATGGGTTACCTAATGGTAACATAGTGGTTACCTTTTCTGAAGGTTATTACAGCAAATACTTAAACTTCACACGACAAATAACTTGTTTTCAAAAGTAAAACTAAGTTAAATGGCTTTGTACTTTTTCTTTTCTAGTATGCTGCCCTTTACTCAAATCAGTATCATTTTTAATTAGCTCATAAGAATTATTTTTTGGTCTCCAACAGAAATGAATTGCTCCCAGTGTCTGGGGATAGCTCTGAGATTATTGCAAACTGATACGTTGTTTGTGCCCCATTATTTAAAAAAATCTTGGTTTGTTTTGAATTTGAAGTGATGATCCACCAGACAGGTTCGTAGAAAGTATCTCCTTAGGTTACCACTCTTTATGCTTCAAACTCTGTTGTCATGAAGAGCTTGTGAGCTCACTTGTGTTCAGGTGTAGGAGGGAGATGCTTTGGAAGTGTGGGAGATGAGGAGGGTGAAAGGTGGCTGGTTTGCTTGTAGGTAGGACAGACAAGTGTCTGCTGCTCATAGTGCTTAGGAATGAAAAGCCTTCACAGGAGAGTAGCTTCTTGGCTGGTTTGGGAAGTTCCTGCCCTGCAGCATTAACCATCAGCTGCACAATCACCACACCTAGGAAGGTGTGTGTGCTCCTCAGGAGGAGGTCAAGAACTTCATGGTGTTTCTGTGTGTGTAGGGTAGAAGTTACCAGTTGTCAGAAGGTGCCCATGAGCATTTCCAGAGCTGGTGTGTGTCACTGACAGGGTTATATTGCAACAGCATTTTAATTAAGCATTAATAGTATGAAACCTCATTTGTTGGGTGCGTCCCAAACTCCCTGTGCCGTGACTGAATCACTGGTAGATCGTAGGTGAGTGTGTTCCCCTGTTCTGGGGAAGGTGAGCTGTGCTCACACACTGCAGAGGGAATAATGGGAGATTATTCCCAACCCGGCTTTACCACTCCATAATAACAGTAAACACTGAAAGCAAATGTGAAAGTTTACCGTAGCATTCCTGGAATACAGAAACATATCAGAATCTTATCAGTAGTCAGAAGTCATACAGTCCAAATGTATATTTTATAGCTTCTTATTAAGATGGCAGCTGATTTGATTGATGCAAAGAAAGCAATTGAAACAAATGGTTTTGTGCAGCAAAGGCAGTGCTCCTGGGTTAATGTGTTTATTTTGAGGTGGCTGCAAATCAGATTTAGCAGCTTTGTAGGAAACTTATTGGGGTGTGTTTTGTGGGGTGGTGTTTTCAGGAGGGGAAAGTTGTCTTTGCTCCACTACTCGAAGTTGGTTTAGGTTGGGAATGAACAAACCAGTGTCAGATGTGAGGAGGACCAGTGTCAGTGTGTGGGGCTTGGGTGTCAGGAGAGGCAGGGAACAGGTACAGGGCTGCAGCTGCTCAGTGTGTCACAGGTGTCACTGGAGCTGCTTTATCTGCAGGGGGAAAAAATGGGGGATTTTTTTAAATAATTAGTTCAGCTGAGGTTTTGTATTAACCATGCTGCATTTACTGGGGTTGTGTTTTCTAAGGTGCTTGTAACATGCTTGTTTAAAAAGCCAGCAGCTGACTATACTGGCCTGCATCTGAACAAGCAGCACAGGAGATTTTCATTATAGTAAGTCAAGACCTGCTCTGCCTAGATTTATATCTATATAGGTATATAGGATATGGTTTCTATGAGCATAATTGTAACAGGATAATTGTTAATGTGGAGGTAGTCCTGCCCATATAAGTAGATCTGCTGATAGAAGTGTGTTCTTAATAGTGTAAGAGATGGAGATGAGAATGAGAGGTGCTGGTCTGAATCTGTATGTGCACTAGAAGGAAAAGCACTCTTGTTCATGTTAATTTAGTTTTCTCAAAAAGAAATCCTGTACCTTCTGCATATGTGGAAGGTGTGTTTTGCCTCAGCTGACACACTGGGGAAGAGTGCCCTGGCTTTCCTAGGCAGGATGGCCAAATTGCCCTGTTCCTTTTGAGCTTTCAGGAAGAACTTAGATCTGGTTTAAAAATCAAATACATGTTCTAGATTTGAATAAAGACATTTTTCGAGAGGGTGTAGCTCTTATTTATCTACCTGAGGGCCATATGCCTCAAGGCAAGAGCTGCATTGTTCAGAGCTTCACTGCAGCTCTCAAAAGGCAAACAGGAGGCTTGAATTTAGTGTCTGTGATCTCACAGTAGTGCTCTTGAATGTGTGTGGCAGTTGATGGTTTTGAGTAAGAATGGAGTAAATATCATTTTTTCTGCAGTGAGTCACTTACAGTCGCCACCATTTATATCCTTAGATGTTAGGTTTTTTTAAGGAGGCATTAAAGATTATTTTGATGAAAAATGACAGTGACTATTGGCCTATGCCTGTGTAGCTGACCCTGTGAACACCCCACACCTGCAGGTGTATCCAGATCATGTTGCCAAATGTTTCATTTAATATCTACTTCTGGAGTAGTGTCTAAAACAATTTATAAGAATTAGAAAGTAAGCAGCTGTGTGAGCAGCTGTCCCCTGAAGAAACACTCAGCCCATGCAGCCCCTCAGGTGGAGGAAAGGGCCTGCTCTGGCTTCAGTTTGCTGTCTGTTCCCTGCCCCAGCTCCCCTCCTCTGTCCCAGCCCCCAGCAGTGCTCCCTTTCACCCCGGGTCACCTCTCCTGTGCACTGAGCTCTGCTGTGGCTCTGAGAGTTTGTGCTGGTGCTGCAGCTGGGCCAGGGGAGCTGTTGGTGATGCAGATTCATAGCAGCAACAGTGAGGGGACAAAATGGCTCTCGGAATCTAAGTGGGCAAGATAATGGTCTTAAAATGCTGTTTTTCCTTCCTAACTGGTCCAGCTCAAGTTTGTGATGTTCTGTTCTGTTTTGTTTCCCCATTGCTGCTGCTGCTGCTGCTCTGAAGGCCTTGCCTGTGGAAGGTTCCTGAGTCAGCTGGAGGACAGCAGTAGCTGAGGTGGATTAACACTGGAATGTAGGCAGGGGCTGGAGCACTTGGGAGCTATGCTTAGACAGAAAGGGAAAGAGGTAAGAAATGTGAAGTGGTAAGACTGATTTTAAGCTCTTCTTTACAGACTTTACCCAATCTTGTAATGCCAGCATTTGTGCATCGCGTGTGTGAAGTGTAAGGCAGAGGAAAAACAATCAGCACCAGCCTCCTTCCCTGACTATTTTTACACTTTAAATACTCCATGCAGCCAGTTGGCGAGATCCCTTCAATAGCTGATGTATCTGCTGTCTGAGAAAGCACGGATTGGCAGGGCTTTGGATGAGCCTGTGAAAGTATTTGTGTGCTCCATTGTGCCGCTGGGCTGCCCTGCCCCTGCACACAGGCCGTGCCTCTGCTGGGCAGGACACAGCAAGGCTGCACTTCCCTCCTGGTGTAAATACCTGTGTGTGTGTCTGTGCTGCCATGAGCCCTGTTCCTGCTGCCCTGGGGCTTGGCCCAGGCCCAGCACTTGTGTGTGGTGAGTGAAGGAGCTGCTCTGCCCCCAGACCACTCCTTTTCAGCTGGATGGGGCTCTGCTCTGGCTGCTGACACAGTGATGATGTCAGGAAACATGACACACAAGGCTGGGGACCCTTTTCCCTTGCAGTCTAATCTGGCTGCAGTTTCACAGTCAGTGTAATCCAGTCATAAATTACATGTATATTGATTATTTGCTTTGTTCCTGCACATTTTACAGCGACTTCTGTGCCGCTTTATTTAATTAGACAAATGTTTTTGCGAGCGTTGCATTGAAAATTTTAAGGTGATTCTTGATTTAATTTAAATAGTAACTGCTCATTCGTTAACCATTCTTCTATTTCCAAAATAATTTTTATTCTGGGATTGTTCATGCTTAGCTACAATCTAGATGAGGATTATTTTGCAATTGTAGAGCATATTCATGCAGCCTTTTTTCCTGATCACTGAAGTGTGGATATAATGGTGTAAGCAAATAATATCCTTTGTGCTTCAATGATCTCCACTCTCGATTTCAAATTTCAGCAAGATGTGCAGGCTTTGCTGCATTTCACACCCAAATCTTTTAGAAATAGCCCTAAACAAGCCAGGCTCTCCTATTGAGTATGTGTGTTGCATCTTGATTTCACTGCACGTCTGTATGCATATAAACATTTATCTTTGGAGGTCTTGAACAGGCACAAAAATATCCTTTAAGATGGCAGTAGTTGTGCAAGCCTAATTCTTGAGCTGCAAGTGCCTCTAATTCAAGATTTCCTGTGCCCTGGAGAATGGACACAATTTCAAACTGCTTCTCAGAGTGCAGTAGATTGCTGGTGTTGATGTGGGCTTTGTCATGTGTGTTCAAAAGATCCCTCAGAAAACACTCAGATTTAGCAACAGCACATCCTTTGACACACCTCAGCCTATGTCACCCAAATCAAAAAACCCAGGAGGAGCTCCCAGCAGAGTGTAGGGAAGCAAGTTGTTCATCAGGAGCAGAAATGAGGAGTTGTGGTTCCCAGAGCAATCAAAATGTGACCATTTTGGATTTCATGGTGGGGCACAGAGGTGCCACAGTGCCCAGAACTCCCACTGAACAGAAGTGGATGAGGAAACAGTTAATTCCAGCTCAGTTTTGCAGTGAGTGTCCACACCCACCAGATGGAGCTTCGGGCTCCAGTGGAAAATTCCAGAAATTGAGCAAGAATGAGAAGTGTGTGAATGACTTAGGAGATCCCTGTCTGCTGGGCTGCAGAAGGTGGGCTTTTAACCTTTAAATAAAGAATGAATGGAGACAGACACATCAGCCTTAGCAATTCCTTTCACTCCAGCTGTCTTTCATGAAGTTTCTCCTGTGATGACAAGTTGAGAGTTCTTAGTGCAAGAGCTGAAGGGACACAGCAAGCACCAAAAAAGAGATGTAAACCAGAGTTTCATAAACCCTTGCTGAAAATTGCCTATAGCCATTGAAACAGCACAATAAAGATTTAGGCTCGAATTTCCTCCAGAGGATAAGATGGGAGTGTTTTAGTACCACACTTTAGATGGACTCATCTCCTCTCCTGAAGCCATGTTTACATGGGATGTCAGGAGAAGGGGTGTGAAACGGTCCTTTTGGTTTGACACACAACTTGAATTTTTTTTGGATATAGCTGATTTAATCTCTGAAATGTTCTTTAAATGTTTCTTTTTGACAAAGGGTCTTTTAAGAAATGGTGTGTTTGTCTGTGATGGGAGCTGGTGTCACGTGCACAGTGCTGCGTGAGTTTGGCAGTGCTTTGACCAGGTAGCAACTTGCAGTTGTTGATTGCCTTCAGTTCCAGGTGTCTTAGTTTTAAAACAACGTCAGGTTTTTCCCCAAGGTTTGATTTGTTGGTTTGGTTTTTTTTTCATATCTTTTCAATAGGTCCTGTTTTGGATGTAGATGTGGGTTAAAGGACCTTGGATATAGGAACAAGCTGAAGGGCTGGGGCTCGTTTGCTTAAGGTTGAAGTGCTGTGTCTGACCTGAAGCTGTGCATCCCAAATTCCCCACTGGAGTTGGGGTGTGTTGGAGGCTGCAGGACCATCCTGTTCCCTGGGCAGAACCTTCCAGCTGCAGTGGCTGAGAGGAGGTGCTCTCAGTTCAAAATGCTGCTGTTACAAAACACTCTCCCTCCAGGATTATAGTGGATTGGAAAAATGAGCCCTGAGTTGTCTGGCATTTCAGATGTGCTGTTAAACTGCAAATCTCATTACCTTCACAGGAGTGTGGGTGCACGGCCCTCAGAAAACTAGGCCAGAAATGCTTAAATAGTGTGAAAAGGGAAGAGTCCAAGGGAAGAAAGTGAAAATGCTCAAAGTCAGGCAGCGATAGATGTGTCAGGAGCTGACTCTTCAGTCACTCAGTGCAGGGAGGAGAGAGATTTAATTGCAACTCTCACCTTTTCAAGGGAGTTTTTAGTAGCTTCAGTTCTTTCAACTTCTCTGTTCTCCCTGGTATTTCTACTCCTGGTGTTTTTGACTTGCTCGCTTTTCCCTGAGACACCTTTCTGCTTCCTGGCTCTCATTCTTCCTTACTCAGCTGTCCTGGAACTGTCATGTCCCAGAGTCCCAGGGACAGGCCATCCTTGTCCTCCTGTGAATATAGAGTGTTACACACCATCATTCCACACAGCACCATTTAACCTGCATACACAGGGAGGCAGCTTTTCTGTTGCTGTGGGAACCACAGGTTCATTTTCTTGCATATTTTTCTTGTATTTTAAGAGATTTCACTCAGTGTTGCACTACCAGGCTTCTTTGCAAATCTGTTTCATGGCTGCCTTTTAGAGCATGTTATTAAATGTAGCTAGCTGGGAAAATTGTTAAAAGTTGCCTTATTCTAAAAGCAGTTGGAATAGGGAGATAAAAAGCACAGTATCAAGAAACCAAGTCTTGTTTCATCTCACCCAGGATCTTAGAGCTGCAGCCAGCTCTGATGTTTGCTCCTGTGTTGGGCTGTTAGATAAAATACTGGCAAAATAAGGGCTAAAATAAAAGAAATTTGGATTATATAGAGTCAGAAATGCCAGATGCTTGGGGATCCTTGTCAGCACACAGTGCAGGGCAATGATACTCAGTCTGTGGAGACCCAGCATGGGATGAAGTGCTTCCCTGAGCTCAGAATCATCAGCCTGATAAACTAATTGTCACTGATCTGCTCTCAAGGCTGATGGGTCCTCACCCACAAGTGTGCTTTCTGCAGGGAGGATTCCATGGGAGAGAGATAATTTGGGCTTCCTAGAGGCACGTGGGCACTAAGTTACCTTCTAGTTAGAAAATACTTCAGTATGAAACAACCACCCGTCATCCATCCTTACCTGTCTGAAGGTATGGCTGGTGCTCTTGTTAAAGCAGATGCAATATTCAGTTTTGCCTCAGCGTGAAGCATTTTAAGAATTTAGTCTTTTTTAATTTCTTAAAACGTTTTAATGTCTTGTGTTGGAACTGTACTTGCCAAAGAAAGCAATCTGTACTTTCAGCTGTGGATGTTCTGTCTGAATAATGAAAAGATTAAAATCTAACAATTTATTTTGCTTTATGCCTTGGCAAAGTAATTCTAAATGACTCAACAAGTTTTGCTTTTATGAACTTTAGATTTGGCTGTTCCAGATTTTGTGGTGCTGCTGTTGTGTCTTGTGTTTCCAGTCTGTTCAAAACTGAGTTTCTGTCCATGGCTGATGGGAGTTGAAGAGGGATCAGTCTTCCAGCAGAAGTGTGATCATTTACATGCCATTCCCCAAAACTTCCCATTCTCCTCCTAGCAATGTAATTGAGTTCTAATCTGAATTAAATTCCTTCCCAGAGGAATGTGTGTCCCCAGGGCTGTGACTGGTCCCTGTTTGATATCCCATAGTCTGGTCATTGAAGGTGGGGCCTGTTTGTATGGACCCTTGCAGGAAGAATGAGCTGCCCAAGGCAGTGCTGTTGCTGTGGGTGCTTCAGTGTCCCTCAGCCCTGCAGGGTGCAGCTGTGGGTGGTGCTGAGAGCCCAGGGCAGTGCTGTTGCTGTGGGTGTTCACTGTGTCCCTCAGGGTGCAGCTGTGAGCTGGGTGGTGCTGAGAGCTCAGGGCAGTGCAAACAGCTCTGAACCCCCTCAGCCAGAAGGTTGGCTGGAGTGTGAGGAGGAGCATTCCCACTCTGTTCACTGCTGGACTTGTGCACTGGGTGCCTGAACTGCACTCTGAGCACTTCATGGTTCCTCAGGCAGCACCACCCAGGACAATCTGCTATTTAAGCTGCAGCCCTGTGACCTGCACTCAGAGCAGCACTGTGGTTTGGAAGGAGCACTGATGGCTCATTATCAGTGTGAGATTGCCCTTACCACATCTCTTACCTTTGTCTTTACCACTGTGTTTTGTACAGCAGGACATGATCCTCCTCCTGTGCCCGGGCTGGGGGCTCCCCCAGTAGGTGCCACATCCCCCTGAGCGGGCGGCCTGCAAGAGAGTTGGCTTTGGAGGCTTTTGCAGGAAACTTGTCCAATGAGTCTGAGACGCCCAAGCACCATCAATTTTGGAGGTAAATACTTCATCATATGTACTGAATAGATGGGGAAGAGTTGAGATTTTCATTTGACAAAGTAGTAGACAAAAAATAGTAGAAAGGATAGTTTTGACTGTTTGCTTCTGAGGTTTGGATGTTTTGAACTTAAAAGGAACACCAGCTTGAACTCCAGAGAAATTGAGGGGTGGTGGGTTTGGGCTCAATCAGTCTGGCAGCTTCACTGCAGATGAATTAGTTTCCTGGGTTAAAATTTTCTCCCCTCTGTTGGTTTAAAACCATCAGAAGTAAAAGTGAAAGCTGGTTCTGACTGCAAGGGAAATGACCAGCCTGCCTGAAGTAATGCCATGCTAAACTGGGGGAAAACCTCTGAATTGGGGTAGGGAAGTTCAAAGATACTTAATTCAAGTTGGATGTCCTTTTAAGTTATTCCTTGGAATCTGACATTACATATTTGAATCTCAATTGAAATGTTTAATTTTGGAAATTCAGCTGAAATGCTCTTTATTAAGATATTTTCTATCATTTGTCTGTAGCTTGGTCTGTCAAAGTGGGCTGTATAAAGGGAAGGGAGGGAAGAATACTGTGAAAAGTTAAGCCAAAGGGGAAAAAAACCCCACCAACAAAACAAACAAATGAAAGAAAATATAACAATTAGTCCCAGAAGGGTTTTTTTTTAAATGACAAATTTAAATGTTGGTACTTGCCTTGGGTGGGGGAGAGGGGAGAATAATTTGCATGACGTGTGTTTTACTTCCAATTTAATTCATGCTGTTATTGGAATTGAATCAGGTTACTGATCAAATTGTAAAGATAATGTACGTTTAAAAGTGAATGAGTTAAGTTTGCTCGAGTAAACACCAGTAATGTCCTGGCACCCAGCCCACAGAGAAGTGAAACCCTGGTGAAGGTTTGCAGTGTCTGGGTTGCACTGAGGATGTTGATCCTGGGTTCTCGTTGCTTTCTGGTTTTAATGCCAACTGTTATTCCCAAATATTTAATACCTAAACCGAGGCTGTCTGGTAGAGAGCTACCTACACCTTTTAATGAAGTAATTTGGAGCATAATCTGAATTTTCTGTACTAATGTGTTGCCAAACTGCATGCATTTTTTTGATTATGGTGTTTGACTCTGCTGCAGCCCTTCCCTTTTAGTATTATGGATATTAAGAAATTTGGGGTTGAATTATTGGAATGAAAACCATGGGATCATGATACAGAGCTAACAAAGGCAATGGACCAGAGGAGAGGGTTTAAGTGTGTGGGGTGGGGTATTTATGTAGGGGAAAGGAACAGCTTTTAGAATAAGGGTTTGAAACATTGCTTTTTCTGTAGGAAAAAGATGGAGTATTGCATGCTGGGAACAAGTGCTTTCCAAAAGGTAGCTAAATTTTAAAAGTACATTTGTTTCATTTTGTTTTGGGCTTTGCTTAAGTATTCTAATCTAGTAATTTTGTCCTTTTCTGCAGTTTTCATTTTGATTAGACCTCTGCAAATCTCTCTTCTAAACAAAAGTTAAACAAAAAAGCCCAACCAAAACAAACCCAAAAAACCCTCAAACCTGGGCCACAATTGCAGTTTGTCATTGCTGAAGTATTGCGCAGTGTGTACAGAAAGGAATTTTAAGGTTGTTTGTAATGATATAACTTCTTCCTGGGGTCTGTTTTGTTCTCCATGATTTCAAAATCGCAGGTATTAACATTGTTACATTTGAAGATATGAATGTGTTGGGTGAATACAGAGAATAACCAAAAGTAAAACCTTTTGTTAAGTGTAATCTCCATTGGCACCTCTTTAAAAACAAGAAACTCAAACTTCAAAACCCCAAACCCAAGAAGCCCCACTCCTGGGGAATGCTGTCAGCAGAAACTCCAAGTAAATAGTCTCATTTTTTTCCCTTTGTTCTTGTGAATAGCAAGACATAACATACTTGGAGGAAGTCTGAGTAGATGAGTCAGGACTTATGTCATTAACTGCAGTTAATGTTTTGGCCAGGTTTCCCCAGGAAACAAAGCTTACACAATTTTTCAGATTGTGGCTTGTCTCCTAATCCCTCTTCCCAGCCAAGAGAAGAGGGAGCCATTTTCAACCAAACTGGGTGGAGATGGAGGTCTGAAAAAGATCAATGAGCACCTTTAAGTTTGGTTCAGTGCAGCTCTCCACTAAGGGAGGCAACAGGTTTGACCATTCCCAAGTTTCCTTCCCAGCTCTCCTAGCAGCCTGTTCCTTCAGTTGGGTGCAGCAACGCCGAGGGGCTGCTAAAAGCTCGGTGGGAGGGGTCGTGAGGAGGGCACAGAAATGTCAGTGCTCAGGCCTGGGGCTCCAGGGCATTCCAGAGGGTTCCAGGGGGTCACTTCCCGGTGCTGCAGAGGGGCCGGTGAGGTGGTGCCTGGAGCTGGCAGTGCCTGTCCTCATCCAACACGGAGCGAGCCAGGGCTGTGCAGGGGAGAGAACAAGCAGTGCATTGTCCTGGCTTAGCATTCGAAGTGTGGACTCCTTTGGAGTGTTGGTGGTGGTGCCTGGCTGGGTGCATGTATAGTGTGTCATTCCATGGATACGATATTATTGCAGGTACAGCAGCAGCTCATGATGCCCCGTAAAGCTTTTCTTTCCCAGAAAGAAAAGCAGGCTCGTGCCAGGGAAAGGGATATGTTAAAAAAGAGGAGGAGGCGACAAGACTATCTCAAAAGAAGCGTGGAACCACAGAAAAATACTGAAACAATAAAATGGCACAGGGATGATGAGAAGAGGAGAGAAAATGAGCAAGTTAAGGACAAAGATATCAAGAAGCGGTGGAGACAGGATGAGAGAGAACGACGAAAGAATGTGGACGCTATGAATTGGCACAGGGAAGAGGAGAAGAGGGAAAATGAGCGAGGTAAGGACCAAGAAGGCCAAGAACCAGCAAAGAAAGGAGGAGGATGAGGGGGAAGGAACACCGAAAAGATGGACCTTTGAGGCAGCAGAGGATGATGGGGAGAGGGGAAAAGAGAGAGTAAGAGAAGTTCTGGTTTATAAGCATGTGCAGAAATGTTGCTTTAATGAACTAGAGTTCTTACATTGCTGATGGTTGTAATAAGATTGATGTGAGTGGAGATGTAAACTAACAGTCACAGTGGGACAGAAGAGGCCGGGTTTACACACTGCTTATCCAATTGCCTGTTTGCACACATGCTCACACCTAATGCTTTGTTCAGCAGTGCCATTGGTAATACTGGGTGTCAGATCACCCAAAACTTCAGGTTTTCTCAGTCTTCATAATAGGAGTAAATGAGAGCATTAGGAAAGGGAGGGTCAACCTTATGAGCTCATAAGAGAAGGTAAAACTGATGCTTTATTTTTTTTTTTTTAATAATGTCCCTAAGAGAGTTGTAATTGCATGGACAGATCTATTCTGAGGTCAGTTATTCAGCATAAGTGTGAATTTCATGGAATGCCTTTAAGAAGCAGCAGCTCAAGAGATGAAAAGAAGAAATTTGAAGACATTAGGAAGAAATTCCTCCCTGTGAGGGTGGGGAGGCCCTGGCACAGGTTGCCCAGAGAAGCTGTGGCTGCCCCAGCCCTGGAAGTGTCCAAGGCCAGGTTGGACGGGGCTTGGAGCAACCTGGGCTAGTGGGAGATGTCCCTGCCCATGGCAGGGGGTGGCACTGGATGGGCTTTAAGGTCCCTTCCAACCCAAACTGTTCTGTGAAGATTCTATGAAAAAATAAACTTAGTGTGTAAGGGGTGCTCGGAGGGGTAGATGTTGCTTATTAGGAGTAACTTTATATATTTCATTGTGAGGGAAAACGCTCTCAAAAGGAGTTTCCAGCTTTCTACCTCTATGTTCCTGTGAGGTTTTTATTGTAGGACTGGGAATCATCAGCTGGTAAAAAGAAACTGAATGTCAAGAAACTTGCTAAATGTGTGTAAAAAAAGTTTGCACTTCCTTTTTTCATTCATATTTTTCACTCAGTACTCACTAGGAAAGGTTAATTTTTGTAGTTCTTCTTTTCTTGATTGACTGCTTCTTCTAACTGCTCTGCTCTGGGAACTCAGATCAACTTAGAACTATGTTCATGACACTTTTGAAGGAAATAAATGAAATATCCAGACAGGAACTTCCCAGTTATTCCTCTAGTCCCATTAGAGTCTAGGATTCCACTGGCTTGGTTGTGCCAGTGATGAACAGGCACTTGGGAAGAGCCAGTGGCCACTGAAGAGCTTCAGGATCCCTGTCCTCGTACAGGTCTGGGATGCCTGAACAGGATAAAATGCACTGGGGGCTGGGGGGTTTGTGTCCAGCTTTTGGGGAATTCCATAACTGGTTTTTACCTGCCATTTCACAGCAGTGCTCTCTCCAAACTCTCCCTCAGAGAATGGGTGCAGACTCTCCCTCAGAGAATGTTCAGGTCACCCATGTTCTGTGCTTGCTCGTCATGGGAGGTGTCCTGTGTGGGCAGGAAATGGTGTCATTTCCAGTTAAGCACAAAGAGAAGGAAACCTAGAGTAGGTTTTCTAGAAAACCTAGAGTGGTGCTGTCATGGTGCCTTTGCACAGCAAGGTCTTCCTGCAGGTTAGTTCTTTAGTCTTTATTTCTTGCTGAAAACACTGTTTTACTGTGCAGACCATGACATTAGAAATACACTGTGCTTGCTGCTTGCATTGGACCAAAGCTGAAACATAAACCCAGCCTAGTGAGCACCCTGAATAGTGTCCAAAATTGCAAATAACACAGTGGGCAGATTGTGAATACTGGCTGAAGATTTCAGTTGAGGGAGAAAGGCTGTCTGCCACTGGTGCACCTTTCCCAGAATCTCAGCAGTGTTGTGGGTTGTGGGTGCTGTGAAGCTGCACGTGGGAAGCTCAGTCCTTTCATCAGTGAGAGCTGGAACAGCCCCACACCTGATACCTGAGGGCATCAAAGGCAGCAGATGCACAGCAGCTCCTCTGCTGAGGGCCAAGATACAAAAGACCCACTGGAGAATTAAGATTTTAGTTACACTAAAATAGAAAGATCTTTTGGGGTCTAAAGACGGGTGGGAGTTTTCTCTTTTTTATCCCCTCTGATAATTTGGTGGATGTGGGTGTTTTTCCCTCTGGTGATCCCTCCCCTGGCTCTGAGTGCAGACCTTCTGTGAGGTGGGAGTGCAGCGCTGGGTGTGAGATCAGGACACCCCTCCTGAGGCAGGGCTGTTTGCCCTGACAGAGAAATGTAGCATAACATTCACTGTTGCAACCTAGAAGACTAAACCAGACATGCAGTTACTGTATTTTACAGTAATTTTTCCAAATAATTGCACAGTCATCTTTTAAATTCATCTTTTGACTCAGCTCTTAGGTGGTTCCAGTCCCTTGGTAACTGGTATGTGTCAGGACTGAACTGCATGGCCAGTTGAAGCTGGTACAGTGAGGGTAGTTTATTAAATGTTAAAACTGGTTTAAAAATCAGAAATGTAACAGGAGGATGTGTCAGACATTCTGGGTGTTTTTAGAATAGAGACTGCAATTGTTTCCATCTGGAATTTGAAGTGCTAGTAAGTCAAGTGGTGAAGAGGTAATTTGGAGTTGGAAGTCTCTGAAAGTCTGTCTAAATGCTAAGATCTGTTTTAAAAAAAAAAGTAGTGAAGAGTTTGGGGTTTGTTAAAAATGCTCTGTGGCTATACAGTGGCTAATTTGGGGCTAGACCTTGTTTCCTTTGTGTGTTGTCATGCCATAGAAATGAGAAGTCCTGGTTTCCTGTTCTTGGGATTTGCACTGTTAAGTTCCTAAAACTAAGCAGCAATGATGTTTTTTTCCTGACTATTCACACCAGTGCTCCTGAGAGCATTTGAAGGTGTTACACCATTTCCCCCCTACTTTGCCCACCGTGGCTGACAAGGTTAGGGATGGATGGAGAGGAAAAGCCTTTTGCTGTGGGACAGGAGGGACCTCAGGCAGACAAAGCATCCCTCGTTTCCAGAACAGCATTAGTGTCTGGCTGGGGGTTGGAGATGCTGCTCAATCCCAGCAGGTTTCATGTCCACACCCAAGGAGGTGCCAGCAGAGGGTTGTGTACAGTGCAATTACAGTTGGAGGTACTGCTCTAAATAGAAATGAAGGGAGGTGCTAAAAGCTGCTTTTGTAGTCACAAACTACAATAATATCTGGCTCTCCACTGACTGTGATTAAATAGTCAGAAATTTCCTTAATCAGATGAACTGTGCTTGCTTGAGAACGAGGTTTTTTGTTAGATCAGGTGAGTTGGATTCAGCCATCAAGCAGAACTTGGTTGATTTTAAAAGCTGATCTGTAAAAGTTCAGGTTTCAGATGTGAAGATTTAATTTTCTCCTCTGTTACAATGCAGGGGAAAGGAAGGTCCTGGAGTTTCTTGTCTTGTTAAGACTTCACTGAGGCAGGCAAAGGGCAGAGGCAAGAGGTTGGTGCAGAGAGACCAGAGATCTTCTTTTCAGGCAGTTCTAAATAATTTGCTTTTCTTTGGGTTTCTGTATCACAGTGTATTAGGCGTGTTTAGACACAGTAATTAAGATGAAGCATTTGGTTCCTTTGGTGAAGAAGTTTAGTGGCATTTTGTGCTGAAGTCACTTTTTTGTTAACAAACTTTATTTGAGATTGTGGCTGACTCAGGTTTACAAGTGATCACTTCCCAAAGCCAAGCTCTGCACTGACTGGGGTGAGACCAGAAATGGTTTCTTTGCAGGCAAAAGGAGTTTGTTCTTGAAGTAGGGACCTGGATTTTAGAGAAAGCAGCAGGGCTTGCCAGGAGCTTTCCCATGACTGGTTCATGCACTGCTGTTTCTGCAGTTCATACTAATCACTTGGGTTTTTCTGGAATAAAATTTCTAGGACATTATCTCCTTGGATTTGAAATTCACGTGAAAATATTAATTCAAATCCTGAACACACTTGACTGTGCTGCTACACAGAATTTTTTATATTAAACTGGAGCCTGCAGGTAGTGCCTGGAGGGGTTACTGAGCCAGTGCAGTCCAGAGAGAGCCACATTATCCCACTGCCTTCAGAGAGCAGGGGCTGGTAGAGCCACGAGTCATTTCTTGGCTACATTAACATTTTTCACTCTGGCTCTATGACCTGCAGCAGCAAGAACTTATAATAAATGGCTGTTCTTGAGTTTGGGAAAAAAAAAAAATTCATGCTCTGCTTTGAAAGCAGACTTGTGTGACTTGACTGTAGCTCAGAGTTGAGAGCCATAGCTCCAGTTCTGTGAGGGAAGAGTTGGAATAGACTGTTAAGGAAGCATACTTCCTTTCTAATATTCCTTCTCATTTCTTTAGGGATAAAACCACTCTGTGCACTATGTGCTATTTTTTGTGTCCTGTTAATGAAGTTTTAGTATCACACAAGTCAAATCTGGTTTGAATCTTTTTAAACCAATTTGTTACTAATGTTTCACAAAACTGACATTGGTGACCCTCAGCCCTGCTGTTAAATATTTTCAATTACTCTTTCTGTCTTTAAAATGGACCTGGCTCACTTTAGGCTGTATTAGACATTGTTTTTACAATTAAAGCAAAATTATTTTTAGTCAGCGAGATTTTTGTTCTACTTGTTGAAGTAACTAAACTAATTGTAAAATTGCCCTGAAACAAATAAATGTGCTCTTTGTGGTCTTAATTTTTTTTGATACAGCAATTTCTCAGTACAAATTCCTGTTTGCAAGATAGATATCCATTACTGGTTTCAAATTTTCCACCATTTATGTGCTTGTACTTTGACATAAATGGTATTATTTTTATTTTACTTGATCCAAAGGCATGTTAAGCAATAGCAGAAATAACAGGATGCAGCCTCTGCCCAGAGGTGCTCACACAGTAACTGATACCCCGTGTGGGCAAGGCCAGGGAGAAAAGAGAGCAGAACTTGTAACTCTGGAGTAACCTACTCAGAGCCTCACACACAGAACAGTCACAACATCTTACCTATGTTGAAAGTGGTTTTTAAACTTCTCTGCCATGTGTGCCTTTAGAAATAGCTCTTAATACAAGTCAGAGGCAGTGGCCATGTGGATAAATCAGAATTTGATTAGGAAATCTGATAAAGAACCATAACCTCGAATTCAGGGTTCAGTAACTGATTTGCCTGAGTCAGTTTTCACAATAACAAGAAGTCAGAAACTCGGATCAGACCTTATTTCCCAGGCCTTCATGAGGGTTTAAAACAATTCCCTGGGCCAGAGTGAGCAGGCTCTGCAAGGCTGACATGAATCACCCTCGCTGTTTGAGCAGTCGGGGTCCCTCCTGCACAGAGGGAGTGTCTGAGGCCTGGGCAGTGTTAGAGCTGCAGGTGAAATCCTGATACCAGAGGAGGGGTGGGAATGGGGAGAGCAGAGGAAAAGAGCAGCTCCTGTTGTGTAGCTGACAGTTCCATGTGCACACAGAAGTTTGAGCCATCCCTCGTACTTCCCCAGTGGTTGCTCTCTGAAGGTCTCTGACCAAGCTCTGAGGGCCCCTCTTTATAGAAGGATCTTTGCTGAACAGCTTCAGCCACTTAAAGCTCTAAGTGCAGTAAAGGAGGGAAGCAGCATTAATTTCTCACCCCACCTAAGCTGAGTGCCAGGGGGCTCTTTCTCACCGAAGAGATGCTGGTACCTGGGTTATAAGGCTGACACAACCCTTGGAGCTCACCTTGCCTGTTTTCAAATCAGTTAGAACACGTATGCACAGGAGAGAAACTTGAGTTCTGAAGTACTTCAGCTTAGGGGTTTGTAAAGACAAACACTCTAAAGAAATAAGTTATTTCCAGATGCACTGAAAGTCCTGCAATAGTTGTTCCATCAGTTTGTTGCCTTGTTAAAGTGCCCTCTCCAGCCTTATGGGCAGCCTCAGCCAAGAACAATCAGACAGAATGTGTAGTTTGTTAGTTAAAGGTTCAGCTCTGATACGAGTTCTGTGGGGAAATGAGACAGACAATTACTAATAATTAAAAGTGCAGCACTGTCAGACAAAACACATTTGATTTAAACCTTTTCTCTTACTCTCTTTTTCAATAGAAACTATGTTCCAACTTCCTGTCAACAACCTTGGCAGTTTAAGAAAGGCCCGGAAAACTGTGAAAAAAATCCTTAGTGACATTGGTTTGGAATACTGTAAAGAACATATAGAAGTAAGTATGGCACCTCCCAAGAGTTAGAGCTGAAATTCTCCACAGTTAGGGGCACTGAGAGAGATTTGGGGTGTGACATTATTTTTAGACCTGTTTAAGTTCTTCACAAAGTAGGTGCTCATTAAAAACTTGAGGTTAAATGTACCTGTAAACACTTATTAGAGGGTTTAGTGGAGCCAAGACACACCTGAGGCTCTGTGTGACTGATTTGGTGACACTGAGTTCTCTTTGGTTATGGTGGATCGTTAAGTGGCGCCTGGTACTGAACACCCAGGAATGCTGCAGGAACTGGGAGCAGTGTGGGATGTTGGGGGGGGCAGAGGATGGGTCAGTCCATGCTTCAGCAGGTCAGAAGTTAAAGAACCACTTCATGCCTGTGTCAGTTCCTACAAGGGAAGGGTGTTTGTGCTGCTCTCCTGAACAGGCTCCATCAGTGCTGTCCCACAAGTGCAGCTTTCCTTGGCAGTTCCCCACAGCCCCTTGCAGCTCTCAGCACATGACCCATTGCTTTAGCTGTTCTGTCTGTGTCTTGTGAAGAGCACTGAAGTGAGATGTGTAAGGGAAAGAAATGCCAGTCCTTCCTGCTTGGAGAATTTGCTGGGCCAGTCTCACGTTTAAGGGGAGAATTCTGAACTGGGACAATGTTCATTTCAGTGGAAATGTTATTTTCGAGTCCTTCTGTGCTGCTGACTTCCATGCCAAAGTACTTCATAAGGTTACTTTTTTAATAAGAATTGAGTGTCTTGGACATCACACATGTCCAGCTTTAAAAAATGTTATCTGAATTCCTGTGTGAAATTAATTTAAATTCAAACAGACCCAATCAAACAAAACAAACACCACACCAGTATCCCCCAAAAAGCAAGCAAGCAACCAAAAACCCCAAACATCAGAGTCTGGGAATACTTTTCTTCAGGATTGCTTTTGAAATGAGTATGTAACCACAGTCTTGGGTTAATCAGGAGATGAGTACTGAAAATGGATCTTCAGGTGTTTTATGATGCAGAGAATATTCACAGCTCTGCACCTGTGAGGAGGTGTGACACCACCACTGCCTTGGGTTAATGATCTGTGCCCTTTGCCAGCAGCCCCCAGGGAGAATCCAGGGAATGCTCAGGGATTGCTTAGGGTTTTGGTCCGGGTGTTTGGTTCTGACTCTCTGTCCTCTCTTCCCATCTTCCCCTTTTCCAGGATTTTAAGCAGTTTGAACCTAATGACTTTTATTTGAAAAACACTACATGGGAGGATGTAGGACTGTGGGACCCATCGCTTACGAAAAACCAGGTTGGTAAGAGTTTGGGTTGACACTGTGAGTCTGCAGGTGGCTCGTGCTGAAGGGCCTCCCACAAACATGCCAAGAGCTTTTCCTGCAGTTTTGGCAGGAAAAGGGACAGCAAAAAGCTGTGTGCTTTGTTGTGATATTTTTGTGTTGAGTTATAATCCTGGTGTGTCTCAGGAGTCTGGGTGGCCAGTACTGGAGAACTGATGGCTCCAGAAACCTTGCTAAGTCAAACAACTGCACACAAGAGCCCATTCCCACCTCTTTCCATGCTTAGCACAATTCCACCAGCCTTCCTGTCAAAAGATCAACAGTTTTATACTGTCAGTGATAGGTTTTTTACCTTTCCTGGATGGTTTATTCCCTGTTTCCATCACTTTCAGAAGCTGTTGAACTGAACACATCTCACTGCTGCCCTGTGCACGGTCACTGTGAGTGCCTGGCAGCCACAGCCAAGGGTTCCAGAAGCTGTAATCCCACATGTGGTTGGGACATACCTGGTTCTGTACAGCAACTCAGTGACACTGGAACTGTTGTGGTTTAGGTGTTTCTGAGCCAGTAATTAAGGAAATTTGAATTGAGCCAGAAGTGGAAGGAGGAAATGATACTTGATGCTGGTTAGAGCAGGTTGTGTGTGCTGCAGTGGCCTCTCCTGATGGTGCAGTGCAGAGTAACCCCAGCACTGAGGGCAGAATCCTCTCTACAAAGCAATCCCTCTTGTCAAAGGTCAGGGATTGCTCTCAGAGGAAATGGGAACCTGACTTGGGATGGATTCCTAGTGTTAATCTGAAGATGTCCCTTTATTGCTTTGTTCCATAAAATACACTGATGTCCCTTTTTCTAGCTAATCCAGAACAAAAATTGCAATATAAAAGGAGGCAGGTGTTGGTTAGTTGGTTTGCTGTGGCCTGTCTCCAGCCCTCCAGGTGTCTGAGGCTCCAGCAGGTGCCCAGAGGCAGATATTCCTGCTTCCTTGTGCAAAGGAACAGTGCAGATCTCCAGCTCCTTCACATGATCTGTGTGTATCTCAGCACACAGGACTTGTTCTGACACCCACGAGGAATGTTTGTAACTATTTGAATTCCTTGTCTTGCCTCCCCTGAAGTGCCAGGTTGCTCGTGGCCACCTCTAAGGCCAGTGAAACTTTGGTTTGTGGTGCATCAGTTGACAAGAACTGCATTGGCACCACATTAAATGTAACAAAGGGAAAAGCTGCAGGGAAGCTGCAAGGGTGGAATTTTCAAATTTTTTTCCTGAGTCGAGGTTGGTTTAAAAATAAGGTTTGTGCTTTGATCAAAATGAAAAGGCTTGGTGGCTTTAAGGGCTTGCGTAGCCTTAGTCTGTGTCTTGGTAAGCTGAAATCCTTTTGTTCACCAAAAAATAGGTTTTGAATTCCATCTTTGATATTACAGTGTGTAATGGATAAGGACACTGAAATAGCTGAAGTTATAGATCCATCTTACATCTCTAGGAGTTTGGCAGATTTAGGTGGGAAGTATCTCATCTGGATACAGTCTCATTGTCCTCAAACAATCCTGTTTGCCTTTTCCCCCAGAAATGAGCTTATGGGGAACCTTTTGTTGCAGCTCAGCTGCAGGGAAGAGGCTCTTTTGTGACTGGTGGGAAAGAGGCTTCTGAGTGAGCCCTGCCTGCTGAGGTCATGGTTAAACTCTTGAGGGGCCTCCTGGCACATCACATGTATGCTCAGATGATAAACTTCTTAGGAGGCCCGAACTGGGAGAGAAGAAATTAGTGAAAAGGTTTGGGATGGTTGCAGGGGGTCTCGCGAGTATTGTTTAGAAACGTTGTTTTGGGAATATTTAGTGGATGTTGTTTTCCTAAAAGCTGCCGTTCACTATTGAGTTTGTGCTCTGTTCTCTGTTCAAGGACTATCGGACAAAGCCCTTTTGCTGCAGTGCATGTCCATTCTCCTCGAAGTTCTTTTCAGCCTACAAAAGCCACTTCCGGAATGTTCACAGCGAAGACTTTGAGAACAGGATTCTCCTCAACTGTCCCTACTGTACCTTCAACGCGGACAAAAAGACTTTGGAAACGCACATTAAAATATTCCATGCTCCCAATGCCAGTACACCGAGTGGAGGCATCAGCACTTTCAAAGATAAAAACAAACACGAGAGCCTTAAACCCAAGCAGGCTGACAGTGTGGAACAAGCTGTTTATTACTGTAAGAAGTGCACTTACCGCGACCCGCTCTACGAGATCGTTCGAAAGCACATTTACAGGGAACATTTTCAGCACGTTGCTGCTCCTTACATAGCGAAGGGAGGGGAAAAGTCCCTCAATGGTGCGGTTCCATTGAGCTCCGGTGCCCGAGAGGAGGGGGGGATCCACTGCAAACGATGCCTTTTCATGCCGAAATCCTACGAAGCTTTAGTGCAGCACGTGATCGAAGACCACGAACGGATCGGATACCAGGTCACTGCAATGATAGGTCACACTAATGTCGTGGTTCCAAGGTCTAAACCTTTGATGCTCATAGCTCCAAAACCCCAGGATAAAAAGCCTATGGGGCTCCCCCAGAGGATGGGTGCCCTCTCCGCTGGAAGTGTCCGGTCTCTCTCGTCACAGCAGATGATGAACAGACTCACTATACCAAAGCCTACGTTAAATTCCACAGGAGTGAATATGATGTCAAATGTTCACCTACAACAGAACAATTACGGGGTCAAATCAGTGCCCCCGAGTTACGTTGGGCAGCCGGGGGGGAGGCTCAGCCTCAGTGGGAACACGCCCGTTTCTCTTTCCCAGCAATCACAAACCATGAAACAGTTTTCAGCGAGTGGGAATGGAAGGCCTTACACCCTTGGAGGGGAGCAGAGGTCCCAGGCCTCAGCAAGGTACTCGCTGCAGTCTGCCAACTCCTCCTCGCTGTCCTCGACGCAGCTCAAACAGACCTCGTTGTCCCAGTCACAGGCAGCGACCAGGGCTTTGGGCCAGTCTGGCTCCAAATCCCCTGTGGCTGCTACAGGCCCTTCCTCTGTCAATACATCATCCACACAGAAGTGGAAAATCTGTACAATCTGCAACGAGCTGTTCCCTGAAAACGTGTACAGTGTCCACTTTGAAAAGGAGCACAAGGCTGAGAAGGTGCCTGCGGTCGCCAACTACATAATGAAGATCCACAACTTCACTAGCAAATGTCTCTACTGTAACCGCTACCTGCCCACCGACACGCTGCTCAACCACATGCTGATCCACGGCCTGTCCTGCCCCTACTGCCGCTCCACCTTCAACGACGTGGAGAAGATGGCTGCTCACATGAGAATGGTTCACGTGGACGAAGAAATGGGACCTAAGACTGATTCCACTCTAACCTTTGACTTGACGTTGCAGCAGGGCGGTCACACGAACATACATCTCCTTGTAACCACCTACAACCTGCGAGATGCTCCCGCTGAATCCGTAGCTTACCATGCTCAGAACACTCCCCCCATTCCGCCAAAACCACAGCCCAAAATCCAGGAGAAGTCTGACATACCCGTCAAAAGTTCTCCACAAGCAGCAGTGCCGTACAAAAAAGATGTGGGGAAAACTCTGTGTCCTCTGTGCTTTTCAATCCTGAAAGGACCCATCTCTGATGCTCTTGCACATCACCTACGGGAGAGGCATCAGGTGATCCAGACAGTTCACCCCGTGGAGAAGAAGCTGACCTACAAGTGCATCCACTGCCTCGGGGTGTACACGAGTAACATGACGGCCTCGACCATAACGCTGCACCTGGTGCACTGCAGAGGGGTGGGCAAGACCCAGAACGGGCAGGACAAGGGCACGTCCCGGCTCGGACAGTCCCCGGCCGTGGCGCCGGTGAAACGCACCTACGAGCACGTGGAGTTCCCACTCATGAAGAAAAGGAAGATGGATGACGAGGACTCCCCCTCTGGCTTTGAGGAGAAGCCTGAAGAACCCGTAGTTCTCGCACTGGACCCCAAGGGTCATGAAGATGATTCCTATGAAGCCAGGAAAACGTTTCTTACAAAATATTTCAATAAGCAACCCTACCCCACGAGGAGAGAGATCGAAAAGCTGGCGGCCAGTTTGTGGCTCTGGAAATCTGATATCGCTTCTCACTTCAGTAACAAAAGGAAGAAATGTGTTCGGGACTGTGAGAAGTACAAACCCGGGGTGCTGCTCGGCTTCAACATGAAAGAGCTCAACAAAGTCAAACACGAAATGGATTTTGATGCTGAATGGCTGTTCGAAAACCACGATGAAAAGAACTCCAGAGTCAATGCCAGTAAGACTGTTGATAAAAAAATCAACTTAGAAAAAGACAATGAGAGTTCCTCAGACAGCTATGAAAATATAGAGGAGGAATACAACGAAAGCCGTAGTCCCTTCGGTCAGCGCATCTCTGACGTTGGTGGGAAACCCACATCTGATGGCACAGGGGAGAACCCCGAGGACAGCATATCCAAGGAAATCGTGGAAGAAAATGCATTACAGTCTCCAGAGAAATCTGACCAAAAACAAGAGGAAAGCTCTAAATATGAAGAGATTATTTCTGCTGAAGAACCAACAAAACTGGTAGGGGACATTTCGGATAGCGAAGGTGATCAGGATGATGCTGTGGAATGGAAGGATGGAGCTTCCCAGTCTGAAAGTGGGCCTGGTTCCCAGCAGGTCTCAGATTTTGAAGATAATACATCAGAAGTAAAACCAGAAGTGTGGACAGATGAATCCTCCCAAAGTGAAGATGCTGGGAGCAGTAAACCAGCTGTCGAGGCCAAAGGGGGCGGATCCGAAAGCGATGAAGAACAGTCAAAGTGGAAGAATCGTTCCTATGGAAAAGTAGAAGAGTTTTGGTCTAAGGACCAGTCGCAATGGAAGAACACATCGGAGATGGAGGAGAGCCTGTCCAGTCAGCAGATGGAGTGGCAGAGCAGCGCGATGGACAGCGAGGACGGGGAGCCCTTCGCGGGCGTGGCGGCCGCCGTGGCGAAGCAGGCACGCAGCCTGCCGGCGTGGAGCTGAGCAGGCACAAGGCGTGAGTGGCCCCGGGCACCGGCCTGGCATCGGCCGCACTGCCCACACCCCTTTGGGCCCAAAACAAAAAGTTTTGGGGGGAAAATAATACTGCAGCAAGCTCACCCAGCTGGGACTGCCAGGGCTCGGCCCTGGCCTGGGGTGGCCACTGCTGGCCCAGTGGGCCTGGACGGATGCTCTTGGCTGCTCTGGCTTAAGAATTCCAGCTGGGATGAGCACAGTAACTTAATGTGAAATGGATATGCTGGTGGCTCCAGAATGCACACAGAGAAAAGCAGAGGTTTATTTTATCTGCATTTCCAACCTTTATTCACCTTGTCCATGTTGAGTTGTGTCTTTCCAACATGCCCCTCTCGGCGGCGCGGCCGCGACCCGGTGCACCTGTATAGCAGACTCTGGGGAAATGGACTTTTCATGTATCATTCTGAATAGTTGAAATGTATATTTGTACAGTCTTTTAGACCTATTCAAGTGAAGCTTATGGAACTGTTCTTGTGTACCCATCATAGATCTGTTTCTCTTTTTTAGTGTTGCCCTGCTGTGTAATAAATGCTGTATCTAGTTTCCCTAGCAAAGCTTGAGACTGCTCTAGTATGAATTTTGACAAACTTAGTTTTTGCACATAACCTTGTACAATCTCCAACCAGAGGCCAGCAACATAAAAATATATCTGGGCTCTGTTGTATTATAGAATTTTCTTGTTCTGAATATCCTTGACATGACAACTGATGACAAATGTATTTCAGAGCCATTTTCTGAAATCTTTTAAGCTAAAAAAGAAAAATCACATGCAAGAAACAAGTTTGCAGCTACTAATTTTGACACCTTTTAGATCTGTATAAAAGTGTATTGTGTTGAAGCAGCACACTGAGACAAAGTGCTGGGTTTGGATATTTAGTTTTATCTTTAGTTTACACCAACAAGGTGTTGTATTCATTTATACCATCTAATATATGACACACTGTTGTAGTATGTATAATTTTGTGATCTTTATTTCCCTTTGTATTCTTCATTTAAGCATCTAAATAAATTGCTGTATTGTGCTTAATGTAAATATTTGCTTTATTACATGCAACTGCTACATTCCTGGTTAGAAAATCTCACCTTGCTGTGTTCATTCCTTTTTTTTTTTCTCCTTTGTTTTTCCAAGTGCTCCACAGCCCTGCTGGGGCCTGTTTAGTACTTACTGAATAGAGTGATGTCCTTCAAGGATATTGAAAATCTGCACAGCCAACTTGGGCTGAAATTTGTTGTTCCTGTTCAGTGTTGTAGAACACCGAGTTATAAATAGAACTGTAGTGGTTTGCTTGTTCTCCATCCTAGGGAAATTGTGAATTCCTTGCCTTTTCCATCCCTTTGTACTCAGTGAATGGAAATTGCTTTCACCTCTAGAAACCCTCCCCAGAGCACTGTGGCCTGAGGGACAGCAGAGCAGTGGTGCTGGAAGACTGACCACTCCCACAGGGAGGAGCACAGGCTGGGCTTGGCTTGGAAGGAAAAGTAATTTGGATAGCAGGAAAACTAAAAATCAGGTTATTCAAAGATGGGATTGGTTTGGCCAAGCCAGTCCTGCACTGTGGGCATGTGCAGGGAACAGACAGCTGAGCAAGGCAAGCTGAGGATTTACTGAGGGCAGTCTAATTGTGATGACAACAAAACTGTTCTTCATCAGAGCAATGAGTGGGACTCATAAATCCCAGTTCCTACTGTTTGATACTTTACAAGAACTAAACTGTCCTGTGCAGTTCTCACTGATGTTGTAAAGGAGGGAATAATTCTGTGTTTTCCAACACTTTAAGCAGCAAAACCATTTCCCAGAGATCTGGAGCAGTCAGGTGGGTTTAACTGTACTTGGTCCTGGGAGCCAAAGCTGAGACTCTGCTCCATGTGCTGCTGACACTACAATGAGCATTTGTGGGATTTATTGGACTAACTCTGTGTGTGATGACTGAAAACAGGTACCTGGAGGTGGAGATGATTTAGATGTGTCCTGTTCTTTCCCCCCTCACAGAAGGGACACAACTCTTGTTGTGCTTTTTTACCTCAGAGGAGTGGAAGTTGGACTGTCTGGCTCCCAGTTCTGAACTCCAGAGGTAGAAGATGTTTCAAGAACAATACAGGAAAAACACTTTGGCATTTACATCAGCAAAAGAGCTCCTTGTGTTTCTCTGCTTTAAAAGAAAACTTGAACCTCAACTTGTTTTGTGAGCAGGTTTTCCAAACTATTTCATGGAGAATGACCTCAGTAAATCAGGTGAGAGTTTGTTAACGACCACTTAGAGCTGTCAGTGGCTTGATCTGTATCCCAGTAGCTCCAGGCAGGGAGTCCTGGAAAAGCTGAGTCCTTTCTAAGAAAACTTGGTTGTGTTCCTTCCTCCCACTGTGTTGCAGGCAGCTGCTGGCTGAAGATTGAGACATTTCAGGATTTATTCTGTGTCCTTCATCTTGGCTTTAAGGGATTTTACAAATGTGTTTGCAAAACACTTGAACCCAAAGTACAGCAGCCTTTATCTATCAAGCAATGGCAGAAGCAATTTGGTATCCTTTTATCAACTTGCACCAGATTTGTCTCAATATCTGGCAAGGTAAATTTAGTATTAGTGAGCTCTGTAGTTATAAGTTAAATATTCTGAACTCCTGGGTGTAGTCAGTGAATATTAAAACTGAAATATGAACTCTCTAGGAGCACTTCATTTGCCAGAAAATTCCAGGAAATAGCATTTTATATAGTGATTAAATTAAAGGTCTTGCACAAAATTAGTCTCTTACCAGAATATCAAGAAGGATGGAGGGTGTTTATTTTAAGTTTTGCTGTAAACTTTCCACTATTTCAAACCAGTTACTCTTCAAATGTGGATTTGAGGCTGGGCTCGGATTCCCCTCAGATTTGAGGCTAACCACACTTTTGAGGAAGTCAAAAAGCAGAAGAGGTAAAGAGCCCAATAAAACTGGGAGAACCTTAACCCCAATTTGTATAAATTAACACCATGTGTAATGTCACACCATTATAACTTTATGAGCTGGAAGTTACCCAAGTTTTACAGCCATTACAAAGTTCTGTAGCAGATCTCTGGTCCCCTCCTGCTGTGCTCACAGAGGAGCAGCTCAAGCTGCCACTGACATTCCCTGTGTCCAGTGGGAGCTCGGAACTAGGAGGCTGCCTGGGCTTTGGGAGCACAGCAGCACAAAGACCATTAAGACTCTTCTTTGTTTCAGCCATTTCACTGGAACTGAAGAAAAGCGAAGTGAGTTTTCTGTCTTAAATCCACTCTCAGATCTGCAGGGTGGAGCAGCTGAGACTGAGCAGCAGTTTTTGGCACAGACATCGTTTTTGGACACATGCCAGCTCTGGGCAGCAGAAGGTGGGAGCTGCTGTGCCCTGTCACCCCCAGAGTGCTGCCCCAGACAGGCACAGCAGCTGCTGTGGTGCTTCTGTGTCGGGGTGTCACAGCCACAGCTGTGCTGGTGAAGCCCTGTTCACACACAGACCTACCCTGGTGCCACAGGACTCTTCCCTCACTTCCCTGTCAGTGCTCCCCTCTTTCCAGCCCCTCCACCCTCGGGCACAGCCACTCAGCTCTCCCCCAGAATGAACAGGGATTTCACAGCAGGGACAGACAGGCAGCTTTCCTAAACTCCCAGTTCTCTGTCCAGTCCCTCACACACCAAAGCCACCCTTAACCTTAATGCTTTCCCTGCCCTGGGATTTCTGCTCAGTCAAAACATTCCCTCAACATCATGGCAAAGATCTGCACCGAAGGTTTATTCACGAGCTCCGAATCTTCCTGAAAGCTCCAGTGAGGTTTCCTGCTGCCATCCCCTGTCCTGCAGTAACAGTTCTGTAGCAACAACTCACCTGACCCTTTGACACGTATTTTCAAGACAAACCTGAATATTCACCCTGTATTTTTATAGGAAAACTCTGTCATTCTTGCTACCAAGAAATTAGCAGGTGTCAAATATTCACTAGTACAGCTACAGGAAAGTTTCCCTTTGTGTAGTACACACATCTCATACAGTGCTATGGTATTATTTCCATTTCTATCAGAACCAAAGGATTTCAGGAATATGTTGTGTGCACTGTCTCCAGTTTTGTAATAAAGAAGTTGATATTTGGATAAACAGGTTGGTATAACTAAGAGTGTTTTGTTCCTTTCATAACTAATTTGCCTCTCTGTAACCCCAGCTCATTTGTAGTGATCCATTACAATAACCTGCATTGCAGGGGCAGAGGCAGCAACCTGCTCTGTCTCTATTGCTTTATATTTTAATTTGACTTTATCTTTCATCATCAGTCCCACTAATAAATATGAAAAGGTTGTGTTCATTTATTTCTGCATCAGAAGAGCTTTGGTCTCCATGGTTACAGCCATGCAGCTTTACTTTCACCATAAGCTTGGCTTTTTTTTCCCCTTTACAGACTTTGCAGTGGGTTCTCCATCTTGAGCTTTTCCACAGGCATTTTTAAAACAGGCATTTTTTTCCTTCTCTGTATTGTACTGGATGCAAAGCCAATCACTGGAAAGGTACATCCCCTCCTCTGTTCCTTATTCAGAGAATTGAGGGGGGTTTGTTTCCCTAGGCCTCTTTTGAAGTAAAAACATTAAAAATGGCACAGAGATGAACTGTGCTACTCCTGGTCCTGGCTAAGTCACATCTGCATTCCACAATTGCACATCCAAAGGTCCAGAAAGTGCAGAAGGTACAGAAAGTTTATTCATATCATTCAAGTTGTATTACACAACAGCTTGTAACACACTACCCCTGTGTAATAAAGAGTGTAAAGAGTGTGCTGGAAGCTCCAGCCACGTGCAGTTTATTGAATTTTAAAATTTTGCCATTGACTTCACATCCTCTGCAGTCTGAGCATTTGTGGAGCTGGCAGTGTTGGCACATGACTGGCAGGTTTAACAGGCTGCACTAGAGCACTTGTCAACCCTCTGATCATTTTAAATTTGAAAACATATGAGGGTAAACCAAAGTGAGCTTTTGTACATTGTCTTCACTGGGTTTGGAAGCTCATCACCTAAGTGCAAACTCCTGTGATGTAATCCCAGAATAAACATTTCATCTCCACAGAGCTACAACAGGATCAGTAATCTTTGCCTTCCCTCAGACCTGCCAGGCAAAGACCTGAGGTGAAATACAGTCATAATGTCCTGAAGTACAAACAGCTGAGAATAATCCCAGGCACCTTTCCTAGAAACCTTTTGGTTATCAAAGCTTAATTATTTGGATACTTGGTACTTACATAGTCCACAGGAAAAAAGTCTTCAGTTCAGTGGAGTTCTGGCAGGTCATAGGGGTAAGCTGCTGGCAGAGGATGTCTGTGGAACAAGAACAAGGCAGAAATTCATCTTATTGCTCAAGAACAGGAAATAATACTTGAGGGGATTGACTGGTAAAAGAGACAAGAGGGGGGGAGAATCAGCATCTCAGGCTGAAGTTGCTCTCCAATAGTAATAACTGCCTTTGTAACCAATACTGAAAATGTGAAGTTGTTTACTTTTACACCTGATTCTACAGACTTTTGCTGGGTTAATATTGAGCAGATAAAAATAGAGTAGAACACAGGGGAAATTAGTTTTAAAGCACAGAGAAATGCAAATGAATCTGTACCACTTGAAAATACTGACTAAGAAGAAATACAGAAAGGGATTTGGTTTTGCTCCTGGGGTTTTGAAGAATTCAAATAATTGATTAATCTTGAATTGAGGAGATAAAATCATTTTTTCTGTGGTGCAGCAATCCAAATCTCTAGCTAAAATTCCAGTCTCAATGGAAAAGGAAGAGCCTGTCTTTCCCATGAGGCTGATGCTCTCCAGGCTCTAAACTTCACCTCTTTCCAGAGGGTAGTTTGCTATTTAAAGGTAATCCTCCCATTAATTTGTATTTAATTCTCACTCGTGTGTTTCAAGCCGTGTGTCTGCTTACGAAAGTTTCTTGAGCATCCACTGTTAATTCTTGGGAATAGACCCTGGCTCTGCACATTCACCGAGGCCTAATTAAGTAGAAAATATTCATTTATCCTGGTATCTGGTGCTGGCTCCTGGAGCTGTGCTCACACAGCACGGGCAGGACAGACAGGGGTCCCGCTCACACAGCACAAAGCAAACCCGAAGCAGAGCAGCTGCGAGAACAGCCAGCTGTAACAATTCACGGTGGAACACGAACATTGTCTGTATTTTACCCGAAATAAAAGTAGGGAGAAAGGAAAGTTAATGGTCACTCCGATATTCCAAGGAAAATAATCTGTCCCCCATTTCTAGGGCAGCACTGCCAGTGTTCATACCAGGAGAAAACGAGGCAGAAATAGTGCTGTGAATTGCAGTAATTAAGCTTAACGATCTGGGTGCCAATCTGTTTGCAGAAAGCCCTGCCCAGGGCAATCCACCTTCACTACGGACACAGCCTCTCAAACCAGCTTTAAAACAGGCTCCGGATTTCCCGCTCTGGTTTGTAGCCAGCTACTTTAGAACTATTAGCACTCACTATCGAAAATTCCTCCTAACAAAGGATGCCACAATTGCAATGAGAATGTACTGATTTCTTTTGAGATCCCTGCTGTAGTAAATCTGATGCTTTGGTGAATAATACCTTGTTATTTTTATAATATTACAGGTATTTTGACTCACAGGCACACCTGCCTCTCTGACTGCAGATACCACATGCTTTCTCTATACTGCCTTGACATGGGTAATTTTTTGGGGCGAATTCCTGTAACTGTACCTTAAACACTTCCAAAAGTGACTCCTCCTGGTTTATGTCCAACCACACCAAACTTTCATCGAGGAACTCTTTTGTTACCAGCTTATGTTAAAGGAACTATTTCACTCGTTGCCTGGGGTACAGCTGCTGAACCACTGGGAAGTGAGAGGCAAAGCCCCCAATCCACGTAATGTGACTGTTTTCCAAGGAAGGGGTCCAAGGAAAGCTTTTCCACAGTAGCACAAATGCCATCCAGGTTTAAACAACAGGGGCAAGAGGAACCTCTGTGCTGTGCACATCACACAGGCTGCACATGAAATAATTCCTTTGTGGGCAGGCTGCTGGGAAACTCAAAGGAAAGGTGATGTGGTTGTCTGCTAAGGGGGAAGGGGGGAAGAGGGAGAAAGTATCTTGAAATTCCAAAGCCTCTTGAAGTCATCACAAGAGAAAGGTTTAAGTAGAAGGAAATAGCTTTTCACCTCTAGATCTCTCGATTCCTGTGAGTCACCATCTAACAAATGCCAGACCACAGCCCTCTGCTGGAATCAGATCTCTGTTGAGCTGCCCTATACCCGTGGATTCTATTACTTTAAAGGTCCAACAATGAGGGAATAAACTGAGGAAATAAAGATTAAAGGAATTACAGAGGAATTTAGCATTTGCAAGGCAGTAAGGCATGTTCAGATGAGGCCTGATCAAATAATAGTAATGAAAGGATTAAAACATTTGCGAGAGCTTTTGAAAAATCAAGTCCACACAACTCTGCACTTGCAGGCAAATAAAAGCACTGGCATGTAGAATCATGCCTGGAAGATTAAAACTTCTGGTGGCAGCTGTAGAGACTTCAACCAGTTGCATTTGAACAGGCAGCCGAGTTATCCAGGGACACAAACTGTGTCACACCGTCGGAGGCACTAAAAGCACCCTTGGGAAAGGCAGTTTGAAGCCCCCAAGAGCCAGACCCCGGCAAACACGGAGCAGGGAGACAATGACCCATTTAAGAGCAGGTTACTCTGACAACTGCAACCCAGTATCAGAACAGCAAAGCTGGGTCAAAAGGTGGTCACTTCCAGGTTGTGTCACGCCCAGCAAACAGTTTAATTCACAATCAGTCAGACTGTACCTTTGACTGAAGGGAAAGAACTGCTGGGCTGAGGGGGGGTGCCTGCTCAGTATCAGTTCCACAGCCAGGTTAAAGTCAGCTCACACAGCAGCACCACATTTAAGGCAAGTGCTCCAAGAACTGCTGATGTGGACACAGAAAATCGTTTCCCTTCCATCCAAGTTTCAACAAGATGGTCCAGAAATCCACCTTAGTACTGATTTTATAAGGCAGATGGAGGGCATCTTCCCTCAGGGACCATTAGCCCAGCCCAGAGTTCATCCATCTGTCCCTGTCCCTGTCCATTCTCTTTCCAAAGGGCTCCCAAACAGCTCAGAACAGGCAGTGCTTCCCCTGGGAAGCAGCTGGGGCAGCACAGGAGGTCTGGGCTCTCAGTGGGGCAGGGCTGGTACAGCCCTCGAGTTCCCCACTTGAAAGGTTTGCAATCACCAGGAGGATTTCTGACCCTATTCCAAGCAGGATGGTTATCCAGGCTATTTACAGCTAAAACACGGAGCTACTTCCACAGACAGAGGGAAGAGCAGATTACCTGAGAAAAGGGGGAGGGATATTATTTCATGCAGAAAAACCAAGCTGCCCTTCCACATTCTGCATCCCTGAAAAATTGGACTCTCATTCTGACTCTGACAGGGATCATTCCAGATCCCCCCCCCCAAAAAAAAAAAAATAAAATAAAAGTCTCCTTTCAGGCTACCAGATGTACAGCCTTGGTAATTCAGCAGCAACTGTCCTGGGGTATTTATCCCTCTGAACTCAGCTCTGGATCAATCCTGCCTCTTAGAAGCCAGGAAAGGAACAACAATTAAATATTTCAATTCCCTCTGCTGGACTGTGGTGATGACTTTGCCTGAAATACTATTCCCATTCCCAGAGCTCCTGAATCCATGTCTCTCACACCTGCTGCCTACCACCTGAAGCAGCACTAATGCATCTTTCCCTTGACACCAATAAACAAATTTGCTCCAGTTAGTTTACAGGGAAGGCCTGCCAAGCTTTCTGGAGTGGATCAGCAAGGCTGCAGGTACCCAAAGAAAGCAGTGCAGCTCAAGGAGCTCCTCTCCACAGAGACCTGCAACACACATCTGAACTCTGCTATCAAAGATAAAAGGGGATTCTCGGCTCTCTGGCAATAATTATTTTTCAGCTCTGATCATTCCTGCAGGTATTAAAATCAATACCTAGACTGACTGTAGTAATCAAAACAGAGCAAAAGCTGAAACCTCTTTCTTTGGCAGCTCCAAAATCAAGAAAACTTCATTTTTTTTCCAGCAAAACTTAAAAAATTATTATTTGGATTCCTCTCAGTCTTGATTTTTAGTATAGTTTATAACATAGTTTATAACAATGGTAAAATAATTTTCATTTCTACTAAAAGAGATAACCAGCCACAACTCCAAACCAGGCTGGAGATTGAAGATAACCTAACACCAGCCCTACAGACTCATCAGACACGCTGCACCTTGGGAGGCAGAGAGGTGGCACACCACATCCCAGGGGACAGCAAGTCCCAGCAGAACCCGGATTTGCATCAGGGGAATTCTTGCAGCGCCTGCAGGGCTGGTTAAAACCTCAGCGCCTCCAGCTGTGCTCCCCATTCCTCCCCCGAGGGGATTTTTCTCTCCATCACAGGAGGAAGTGTGTCACCACATCAGAGCCAGCCTGGCCCAGCCTGGCACAGCACCTCAAACCCCTGAGGAGGGCAGGTTTGTACGAATGAGCCAAAACTATTCATTGCAAAAGCCAGAGTGTGGGTGGAAATTCTCCTCTTCAGGACAGAAGTTCCTGTCCCAAGGCAAACACAGCAATGTCAAACCACGCCAGTTCTCAGAACACAAGTTTTGGAGCTCAATTTCTGCCTATCTCCTACACCAGTTATACTTTACCCAGCACTCCTTACAGGAGTCGGGTTCCATTCTCCATAGGAGCAGCTTTACTATCTCAGCCAGGTAAGGAAATCAAACTACCTCTCTGCAAGCCCAAAATGTGACTGGATGGGGAGCACAAGCTGCAGAACTTTCTTCCTGAAGAAATACAGAAGTCTTTTCCTCTCTGTTGTTCCAAACATTCTGTTCAAGCACTTCAAGCAAAGCAAATACCCTGCAAGCTCCAGAAAGCATCACATAGACCCCCCCCTTTGGCTGAAATTGGCCATTCATTACCACCTTTCACTTATATATATAATTTCCCAAAGAGAAGGATAAATCAGGCTTCCCTTTGTGAAGCACAATACGATGAAAATATGTAAAAACTGCCAAACAGTTATTTTTATTTCATAAATAATAATGAGATACATAAAGTCTAGAGAGAATTTAGAAAAACACAGGAAAAAAATCCAACAGTGTGCCCTTTTTTCACCTTCAATCTCTTCAGCAAAGATGTGTTCAGCAGCTGCAATAATGATCTGCACAGATCAATAATCTTGCTGAAGCCATGGGAAGGTACAGTTTATTGGCTGTTTGGTAAGGAGACAGAAAACAAGGATGCAGCAGCTCTCCT